CTCCAGGTTTGAGCTGCACAGTTCCTGCTTGCTGTTAGTGCACAGACTCAGGTCCGACTTGACCATAGATGGGTGGTCGATCCATAATCAGTGTTTCCCTTAACATTATACAAGCGGGGTACCCCGCCAGGTCAACAGAACCGAGCTGCGTGCACCCCTGCCCCCCCCCACCCCCCCATCAGCACTGGCTCAAAAACGGTGGGGACAAACAACTCTTGGGCTCAGATGTGTTTGTGTCCCCCCCAGCTCTAAAACAGTTCGCAGCTCAGATGTGTCCGTTCTTCACCTTTACAACTTGAATATCGCTGCGTGACCCATGTGAGCGTAATCCACTGCGTGGTGGGATGACGAATTTACGCCATGAAATTAGCATATCATGATAAATCTAAAAAAGTTCAATCTGGTCCTCTGGACATTCAAAAAACAAAACAAATGTAGAAACGCTTCATCCAAAGGACTTCCTCAGTCTGAGGTGCTGTATTCAGCTCAGTCTTATAAATAGCACCTTCTCAGAGTGGATCAACCAGTTTGCTGCTGACAACCAGAACCAGCAGCAAACTGGTTGATCCACTCTGATCCAGACGAATTGGTGCAGCGTCCACAGTATTGCAGACTCTGTACCGGTCCTCTGTACTGGTCCGTTGTGGTGAAGAGAGACCTGAGTCCAGAACAAGAGGAAGATGATGGATGGATGGAACTTAGTTTTGTCACATGCTGTTTTGCTATTGTTTATGACGTTACCATTTAGAAAGCAGTGATGTAGACACCATTTCACAGAATTTTTCTAAAATTTGTTAAATTGCACCTTTTTAACTTTGCCTCCATAACTAGATGATTCATTAACTTGTAGCACACCACTAAGATTAAAAGTATTCCACAATGAGAAAAGTGGTACGATTTTATTGTTTTTAATGCCCGATGTCGTCTGTGTCTGAGGAGAAACTGGTTTCACAACATACAAGTCTCATGTGGAGTACGTGACATGACTCAGCTCTTTCTAGTTTTTCCTACAATGACATCAGCAAATTTGAATAATTAAAAGGATAGTCACACACCTGATCAAATGGCTTATTAAGAGATATTTTTGTAAATGTTGCAAATACTTTAGTCACAATAGGAACGATCTTAACGGTTTGGATAGCAAATAAAACCTTCAGATGTTTTCACTATAAATGCACGAGTATCCTTCTTTTATACAAGTATCTTTCTATTGTTGTAGATTTAGTGGGACATGAGCACCAGTGAGTGTTGTGACCTGAAAAGGAAGAAGTTGCTAAAAAGAATGGATTTAGTGTTTACAGTAGTTCAGATACTGCACTCAGGATGTTTTAGTCGTTTACCGTCCTCAGTTACTGCAGAGGGGCACCCACATGCAAATTCCTCTCAGGGGAGTGGGTGTCGATGGTAACAAACCAAGCGTGCAGCAGAAAAGGTTAGGAAACGACGAACAGCTGCTGAACTGGCAGTGCAGCGACAACGTTCCAGTAACTGTCGAGGCTTTCTGAAAACACACGAACCGGTTGTAGCGTTACAATCGCTACAATCCCCCGCGACTTGTGACACATTTTACAGTTCTGTTAAACAAAAATTGACAAAGAAATCTCATATATCCATGTAATATTATTTTATATACTTTGTCCTAAAAAGGTTTCAGTGGATCTAAATTTGAAATCCACAGAAATGCTTTATGCCGCCTTTCCATCACTACATTTCAGTAAGAAGTGCTTACGACAGGTCGCACAACCAGTGTCTAATTCAGCACAATTGAGTCATTTGTGTGAGTTTTCCATTCGTCAAAGCTGCTGACGTTCCAACAGGTGGACAGAAACAAGACCCTTTCTACCTTTAAATAATGCACGTGGTGTCTGGTGTCCAGACCTGCGTTTATCACCATGACTCATTCAAAAAGCTCAACACTTAAGTCCAAAATGAAAGACCTCTCAGCTATTATACCTTCTCTATTAAAACTGTCTGTTTTGTCATCTACTCTCAACCATGTCCTGCGAACCTGCAGCGTTACCGACTGGACTTTACTGACATCACCATGACAAGTCACGGATGGAGTATCGTACACCTACACAGTAATAAATGAGCAAATAGTGGTGCAAAAGAACTTTGCAACAAATGCATTAACTGAGCCTTAAACTTCAATTCATAGTTTCCATAAAGTTACATCCTTATGGATTGTATTCTAACACCAAAGTCCATGCTCAATAATCCAGGTAACAATCCAACAGTGTTCAGTCAGGTCATCTGGACGGGTTTTTTTTACTGAGACAATTCGTCCTTCATCCAAAGGACTTCTTCAATCTGAGGAAGCACCAACAAATTGATTCCCACAAACAGCATAATCCATAGTGGAAAAAACAGTTTGCTGGTGCTAAGACGGCCTCGCCCCCCCCC